ATGAATATATGACAGATTCAATTTACTTCACAAAACATTATTCATTGGTTTAATGAGGGTTATGAGGCAGAAAAAGATTTTAGATTTATAGGCTTCTGTTATGATAAGGAGCATGAGAAGCCAACTGAGAGTATAAAACAGCAATAGTCTAAGGAAAAGTTTGAGGTTTAAAAAAGTACAAGAATGTGCTCTTACTACTTTTAACATACTTATTTTCCATTTGACCCAGCCATAGTTCTGCTGAGTATCTTTCCAAAAGAATTAAAAGAATCATATCACAGTGACATATGTGCACCTATGTTTATAGCAGCACAGTTTGTAATAGCTAAAACTTGGAAACAGCCCATTTGCCTATCAGTTGGAAACTGGATAAAGAAGATGTGGTTTTTCTATAAAATGGAATACTACTCAGCCATAAAGAATGGGAAATTAGAGTCATTCATAGGAAAATGAATACATTTTTAGGATATACTCCCAAGTGAAATAAATAAGTCACACATGTGTAAATACTGAATAGTTTCTCTGGTGTGAAAAGCTTTAATAGTACACAAGATTCTAATGAGATAATTAACAATGTGAAATAGGAAGAAAAGGGCTAAAGATGTAGGGAAATTGGGAAGGGTAGGGGAAAAGGAATAAGGGAAAAGAAAAAAATATTAAAAGATGAAAAAATGGAAATAAAGTGTTTGTAAATGGGGAGGGGAGAAGGGGGTGAAGGGAGGGCATGGACAAGGGGAAAAAATGAGAACCAAGACCTGGCATGTAAAGGTACAAGATCCCAGTAATGAATGTAACTGTACTGTATACCTAGAATGTAACAATAAACTCAATAAAAAGAAAAACAACATACTTTTTTTTCAATGTAGAAAATATCTGGTAAGTGATTGTGATATTCCAATCATCTTTCGGTAAGTAGGGCCACACAAGGCACACAATGACAATGGTAAGAAAGATTTAGGTAGATTAACACATTTGATTTGTGTACATCTTTCTGGTCTATTTTCTAGACTATGATATTCATCAATTTGTCTCTAGACCTTCTCTGCAGGCCTGGTACATAGTGGGGCAGGTGGGTTAAGTTATTTGTGGAGCAAGAAGTAAAGATGATTTGCTTTTGATCACTGACTATTACTGAAATTCCTTTAATAAACTTTATGTTATTTATCTATTCCAGAAGTAGATTTGAGGTGGCCCTGAAAACTCTAGAGTATTCTATAATTGTTGGGTATTCTTTTATTTCGGTAATCTTGTCCCCTTCTTCTTCATCAAGAACATATACTATAGGGCCTTGAAAATTACTTAAACTTTCTTAACTCACCTGCTATATAAAATTCAAATAGTGGCATTTATAGCACACAGTTTGGGGGAGGACTGAATAGAATAGTGTATATAAGGATTTTGCCTGTAATAGGTATTTAATAAATGTTACATCCTTTACTTTGAGCAAAGGCGGAAAATGGGCTGAAAAAAGATGTCACACCCTAGACGCATCATTCCGTAATGGCTCATGGCTCAGTGAAGGAGATATGGAAGTGCTATAGGCCTTTTGCTGTGGTTTGCAAAAACCCCACCAAATAATCTGCTCTGCTCTTATGGTAGGAAAGCTCTCGAAACAGTTTTCATTAGCCTGGAGACTCACTGGCCAAGGAAAGCTGTACTTTAATGGCCACAAATCCACCAAACACTCAGCTTGGGAGTTGTGACTATTAATCCTGCTAGGGCAACTTCATTCATTAAGAAACACCTAGCATCAGATGAGTACAGTTCTCCTGGATGTATCTGTGTGGTCACGGAGGCTCGGCCCTGGGTGCTACATACGGTCTCCTGCCCGTTCCTCTCTGGCACTCACCCTGGCACTCACCCTGGCACTGCTTCCTGCAGGCATGAACTAAGTATCTTTGCTCCTCAAGCCCTTCCATGTTATTTCTGCACCGAAGCTAGCTGACCATAGACTGGACTCCCTGAATTCTCTGAAATGAGCTACATTAAACCTCTTCTTTAAGTTGTGGGTGAAAGATAGTGTGTCTGGCAATGAGAAAACTGACTAATAGAGAAATGTTACAATGAGCATAGGTCTGGTGCCTAATTCCTGGGGTTCAGCTATAGTTTCTAACCCCCTGGACATATTCATTTCTTCATCTGTCAAAGGAAGCCGATGATGGCACCATGTCCTTAAGCTACTGTGAGGAATAAGGGACTAGTATGTATGGCGTTTAGAATCACTTTGGTATACAGAGTGAGCTCATTAAAGATTGGCTCTAAAAACCAAACTGTAATACAGACTTATCCATTGGTTTCTATTGTGAAATTTAGTTTTAAAAGTTTGAATGCCTTCACTAATGGAAAAGAAAAAAATCACTTTAGTCAGTGAATTCTAGAACTAGTTTTAGGCACCAGAGTAAATCATTGAACACTTAGTAGGATACAATTATGAGCAACAGCTGTGAAATAACTACAAAAACATTTTTGTTCACTCTGAATATGAGGTTTTATAGGAATCAATAGTAATGCATGCAACACCACTAATAAAATATGACTTTTAATAGCAAATATCTTAATGTTAATTGATTTTTTGCTTTGTTTCTTTTTTTTTTTTTTTTTATTTTTTTTTTTTTTTTGGCGGTGGTGGTGGCGGTGGTGGTGCTGATGCTGGCAACCGAACATAGAGCCATTTCACTGAGCTACATCCTAAGCCTTTTTATTTTTTATTTTGAGACAGAATCTTGCCAAGTCATGGAGTTATCTAGGCTGCATTGGAACCTATGAGCCTCCTGCCTCAGTATTCCCGAGTACACTTGGCTCTTATTGTTATTTCTGAGAGAAAATAACCAGTTTGAGCTATTACTCTGTGTCTATTCCCAAAGAATGTCCTGATTTTTAAAGTATAGGAGTGCTTAAAAAACATGTCAAATGTTTAAATTAAATGAGAACTTATTACCGTGACAGACAGGTTGCCATGTTCGATGGGATAAGATTGTGTTAGAAGTGAGGGGGAGTATTTTGAGCAGGGTCGATAGCAACGTGTCTTTTACTGAAATAAGTTTTTATTTAATTTGAACATTTGTCGTATCAGTATGTTTTGATCGCTCCTCATTGATCAGAATTTCACAACAATTTGTCCAATAAAAATACAATGGTTTTGTCCTCATTCACACCATTCGCATTGTTCACTAGATCTGGCACTGTGCAACGCCTGGTTCCTCCCTGAAGTCAAAATGACCATGAAAGGCAAACGTTTTGAATTGACTCAGGAAGGACAGCGAGGCAGCCAAGACAGACAACTAAAGACACAGGGGAAAGAAGACTTCCAGAATTATTTCAGAAAGTGGTAAAAAAGGAAAATGAACTGTGTGTTAAAGGTGAAGTATTTGGGGGGCTTAATGGTGATGTGTCTTTTTCTGTAATAAATTTTTTAAAATTTAAACTTTGACCATATGTTTTGATCATACCTCAACTCCTATGCACTGCTGAATTAGTGATCCTGTGTGCATGGATCTTTTTAGTGCGTGTACTGGTACTAAGTGATCTCTCTCTCTCTCTCTCTCTCTCTCTCTCTCTCTCTCTCTCTCTCTCTCTCTCTCCTCTGTTGAGATAGTGAATGCCACAGCTGCTGTCTTTCACAAACAACCCTTAGATGATTTTTCTTCCACATAGATAGATATTAATAGTCTCACATTAGGAAATTATTTAAGAATAGACAACGGTCTCTCACAGCGTTAGGAGAGTTGGGTTCATTTTTCTTGGCCTTTTCCTTCTCCTCAAGCCTACAGGTTGATGTAAGACGTGGAATCACAAGATCAGCAATTACGGTACCTAGAAAACCACATAAACCAGCTGTCCCAGCAGGGGGGTTCCGCACCTGCTCACCTTCCCCCAAAAGTCAGCCACTGTAAAATATGAGGTGCCTGGTGAACTAAGGCAGACCACACTGTATTTGAAGAAATAAAAGTGCCGGCTGTGTAGTAAAAAATACAGTTGTATCATGGGAAAGTATGCATATCTCTCAGATTCTAATGGCAGCAGCCACTGCTTAACTTTTCTGAGAAGGATCCTTTTGTGAAGAATTGTTTTGTGTCCTAAATCTGAATAAATGGGCAGGAGCTTGTCACAGGAGTGGCCATCACCTCCTGCCATATAGTCGGTGCCTATGGAACAGCATACCATACGCAGAGGAAAGATGTTTTCCATCCCCCATGTAAATGTGAATGGTCCCTCAACATCTATAAAGCACATAATACACATAAAGTATTATGAAAAAAGTGCTTTTCTGTTAGCATCCAAGATTGTAAAATCGGGGTTCTCACTAAATGTAAATGCAAATACCCAACTTCCCCAAACAGAATGTGCTACAAATATGTGTTGAAATAAAGTAAAATAATCAAATCATAGTACATGTTGCTTGTTTAATTAGTTAATTTATTCACTAATTTTTTATTGCAGCTCAGTCTACCTTTTAGGATAACTTTGTCCATTTTCTTTCAATTTTTATAATTGCCACCACTGTGGATACACACTTTGTCCAGGTATATAAATGGTCCCTTTTTTCTAAACATCAGTTTATTCTTGGAAAAAAATGTTTTTGAGCATTTAAAAGTTCCTAGCTTCAAGCTAAATGCTGGATATTCAATAACAAATAGGAAGAGGCTTCAGCTCAGGCATGTAAGATACTCTACCTAGCAAAGTTTATAAAGTGTACTTATGAAGAAATTTAATGTGACCCCTTTCTAGCAGTCACAGGCAGTAAATTACTCAATAACTCATTGATTTATACGTGCATAAAATTTCCATTTCTTCATCTATTAGTTACCGAGGGTTTTTACAAAAATCCTCTGTGAAGTAGGTATTAGGCTTCTACAAATCACAATTTAGCTATGCAAAATGAAATATGTTCATGTATTACTCAATTTTTCCATTTTTGATTGAGATAATAGTTTTTGAGAAAACTAAATCTTATCTTAAAGGTACATAGTTCTAAACTTTTGACCTGGAAAGGTACTTACAGATTTAGTATTCCCTTCAACAACTTCTTCTTCCAGGGGCTCAAGTTTGAGATCCTTCAGAGGAGCAAATGGTAAGGAAAAGCAAAACGACAGTGACAACAACACACACCCAGAGATTAGATAATTAAAACAAACATCACAGATTCATATGTTCATTTGTTCATGGTTAATATTATACCCATCTCATTATTTACATGAGATGAAAAATTCTGATTTTTAAAACTCAAAGAGGAAATGGCAGGGTGGGAAAAGTACAACATAGAAATTAGATAATTAAAAAAACACCATACATTCAAAGTAATTCTGATTTCCAAAAACTGAGGAAGAAATGGCAGGAAAAAAAAGCAGAAATTAGATAATTAAAGCAAACACCATACATTAAAATGTCAGTTTCTTCATGGCTAATATTATACCATAATAACCTCATTATCTATATAAGATGAAGATGATTTTTAAAAACTTAGCTGTTCAAATAAAGCCTCATTTTGCTCGTGTATCAATTGTGAGGACCTATTTCAGATGCATTCAATTTGTTACTGCTATTAAGTTTATTTTTCTGATGCCATAGAGAGCAAAGGGGAGGAGAAACATACATTAAAACAGAGTGGAAGGATAGAAAAGAAAAATAAGGAAAAATTTCAGTTAACTGGGCCTAACATCGTCTGCCCTGAAAACTGTTGCATTTCTACATTTCTTATTAGTGTGATTAGTCTATTGTATAAATTTTGCTTTACTAAAAAGAAGTGAATTTAAAAGTAGATGAAAATTTTATTGATGTTAACTAAAAGGACTTCTTTTTGACCTTAGCTTCTGTGACCACCAGTGGATAACAGTAAAGTCCCCACTGAAACCGAGTATGGACTTCTTTCTAGGAATCCACCATTTCTGGTATTTGTTCAAGGGAAGATTATGCATAACAGCTTCTTCAGCTAGACAAGAAATAAACTGAAAGTTGCAGAAATCCAGACTCTGTGATAACACTGACCCGCTAACGATACAGCAATGTAGATTTAGCAGATCAACAGTTGCTCAGTGGCAGAACTTTGAGCAGGGTATTTAACTTGTCTGCGATTCACTCTACTGATCCTTTGCTTCACCATCTGGCTCCCTAAGTCTTCCTCTAGATGGCTTTTCCCTGTCTTTCACATCTCAGCCCACAGGTAGCCTCCGCAAAGAGATAGTCCCAGACCATTTACTTTGAACATTTGACCTCTTCATTCCAATCACATTGCCCTGCTTTTCTCATGTCTGATTTCATCTTGTTTCTTAAATTTATTTACTTGTGTTTTTGTCTATCTCTTCAGAGACAAGGATCTTATTTGTTTTGATCACCACCATACTCCTATTGCCACAGTGGTACCAGACACATAGTAGCTACTCAGGAAAGGTTGGATAAATGAATGGCCGGATGACTGCTCCCTTGAAATCACAGCTTTTTGGGGCCGGGGATTTAGCTCAGCGGTTCGGTGCCCTACCTTGCAAGTGCAAGTGCCCGAGTTCGATCCCCGGTACCAAAAAAAAGAAATCATAGCTTTTTCATGAAGACAAAGTTATATAGTGAATACAGACATGAACTGAATATCTAAAAGTGTTCTACAGATAGAAATTGTATCATATTAATCTTCTTGACAGCTATTTCAATTCAGGGACACGTTTCAGTTCTACCTAAGGTATGAAAAAGTTAAATGGTATGAGTGTTATGTCCTCAGTTACTCTGTTCAAATGAAGAATTCCTATGATCTAATAATACACCGAGTGCTTCATGAAGAACGAAGACACTTTTATTGTTGTCCTTGTTGATGTTTTGTTTTACATTAAATGTGTTTTCTGCAGGATTCCACAAATCGTAAGTATATCCCCATAAATACTTACACAGGATGAAAAGGATAGAAGAAACATGCAGAAATTCCAAGTGCTAGTTTCCCTGGATGTGAGTGGAATCTGGTTTGGTTTATAGTTTCAGAAGGATTCATCATAAATACTTAATGGACAAAAAAAGATAACATATGTCCCTCTATAGGTACACTTCTTTTTAACAGGAGATCAAACTTGGGGCTAACAACTGCGGGAAACAAGAGAGTCGGCAGCGAGATGACATGCCCTCAGCCTGTGTTTGGCAATTGGGTAGTTTTTCTCTAAAAAACGAATTCAGCTCAGTACAGAATACATTGCAGCAGAAGACTGAACTCCCCTGCTTCTTTCCTTGTTAAGACAGCTCACACTGAGCTCCACACAGCTGGAATCCCACACCTGAAGCTGTCACTTTGTACTTTAAACAAACCTCTTAGACACTGTGCTTGAAATGAAACCCTTTCATAGATAGGGAGTGAGACAAAAAGCCCAGAAAAGAAAGAGATATGACAATGAAGTTGGGTGGGGGGAGGCGGGAAGGTCTGATCAAGGCTTCAACCATCCCTTTCAAAATAACTGAATGCATTTCAGACACCATGTAAAGAGTTTTCATAAGAACTTCAAAACTACTTTAAAAAGAAGTGTTTGTGTTCTTCAAATGAATTCAAAGTTATTTAACAATAGAATCTTTATGTTTTAATAGGATATAGTTGCCAAAAGAGGTGTCCTGGATTTCTAGACTTGCAATATTGGAAAACAAATTTTCATAGCCTGAATGTTCCCATGAATTGGCTTATAGATCACTTGAAACAAGGAAAGAGAAAAGTTGATGTGCAGCAAGCTCCTGCTCTAGGTGTTTGCTCCAGTAGGAGGTTGAAGCAAATTCAACAGATGAAGACATCCTCTAGGAGGCCAATACGTGACCCCAATGAGAACAAGCCAGCTTGCTCTCCTGAACCCATTCAGTACATCAAGCAGAATCTTGAGTAGAAAATCAATAGACTGACAATGGTTAGAGCTCATTTATTGCAGAGGCAGTAACCCGAAAGACTAAGTAATTCTTGCTCCCTACATCTTTGAAATTATATTGTCTCCTGACTGGTCCCAGATTCAAGTCTCTAGACCAGCAGCCTCCAACTTTTCTTTGGCACAAGGATCGATTTCATGGAAGACTGGAGGCTGGGAACCCTTGCTCTAGACTGTCTATTGATTCCCTGGGGACTTCCTTCACCTTCCAAAGTATTCTTGGTATTATTAAATTTGAATGGTAATTTCTATTGAATTGAGTCATTTTAAAAGCCCAATTTAAACCCTTCCTGCATGTGAGGAATTTCCCAAGCATCCCAGCGGAAGTGGCTATTCCCTTCAGCAAATACTGTAGAGGCTTGTGTCTTCTTCAATACTTTGGCAAGGCTGAGTCAGTCAGCAAGTGTACAGAAGCACTAGTTAAGAATTTTGTTCTATGCTACCACACATTACAATTAATCTCCCTCCTCTCTCTCTCTCTGTCTTTTTATCAGAATGCACCTTATTATTGCAAGTATCATGTGGATTCTTCAAAGTCTATGACTCTAAGAAGCAAAAATGTTCCTTCCTTGGTGCATTCACCTTCACAGAAGACAGTTTATTACTGATTGACAAAGGTTGCCTCGACATGAAAGCAATTTGAAGGCAATATCAGTTTACTATCAGGACTTCCTGGTCTTAGATGAATTAATCAATAAAATATAATAACTAGGAACATTTAACTTTAAGAATTCTTCACCACACCCTAACTTGCTTGCTTACATCCTAATGTGCTTGCTTACTAGCAAGTTCAATGCCCAAACCATCAATTTACATGATAATTTACAGAAGTCAAGTGTGAAATCTCATTTTTTAGTGGATATCGCAGCCTTTCCCTGGATTCCATTTGAAAGATTGTCAAGACTTTACACCTAGGGTATCTCTAAAAGCTGCCATTAGCATCACTAAAGCATCTGCCATCCATGTCATTTGGATAACCTGAGTCAGAAAGTGCAGTTGATTTCTTTAATTCTCAACCCTTTCTCTTAAGTATAATTGTGAGTGGAGTGAGGAGGAAGAATTAATGTGAGCTTCTTTATTTGCTTTAACAAAAACGAGCAAAAACTCCAATAACTACTGAACCGATTTTGCTAGAATCACTGAGCTCATGACTGCTACTCTGTCCTTGGAGCAGCCATTGACACTGAGACAAAGAGGAATACATATCAGCTCAAATATCTTGAAAAGTAGAAAGAGAAGAAAGGAGAGGAATCACACACCTTCTTTTCCAGCCTATCAATTAATTTCTGGAGTCTGTTTATCTGGGTCATCCACTGGTTGTCTTCTTCCAGTAAGCCTTGAGGGGAAAATGACAAGGCAAGACGTGAAATTTTAGAAAGAGGAGGAATGCTTGATTGTTCCCCCCTTCAACCTGAAGAAAGAATACAGTGTTTTCAACTTATAAATACAATTTTCAAATGTACTCCACTGAGTGCTTTCTAAATTATTGATTAGCAGAAATCCATACACCTTAGTGGTTTCATTTTTACGGGCTAATTTTTTATTACTGCAATAATAGCACAGAATATCGGACTCCACCGACACGTTTATACGTGTACGTATTCTGATCATTTGCAGGCCCCTAGAACTTCTCTCTTGGCCTTCCCTCCCCGCCCTTTCCTCTCCTCTAATAGCCTTTCACAGTGCTGTTTTGTTGTTTTTAATGTTAATTATATCAGTCTTTGATGTTCAAGACAACAGATCCTGCTGAGCCACTACTCCACAAGGCAGTTGGTTTTCTTTTGAAAAAGGAAAGCTTCAATCAATAATTCTAAAGTTACTTCCAGGGCAGTGGCAGGAGTCAATAAAAACATAGCCCTAACCTTAGAGGGTGTAAATTGCTACAATCAAAAGCATAAGAGCAGGATAGCTCTGCGTCCCTTCCCAAGGGCTAGCTGATGGCTTCTCTTCATGGCTGAGTCTGTCATTCAATGCATTCATATCTATGATATTTACATACAAATCTGTGAGATGTGATCAAAATATATAGCGGATGCTTACACTTAAAAAATGATTACAGTAAAAGACACACTGCCGTATTCCCCCTCGCGTCAAATACACTCGCCCCATTGTTCTTGTGACTTTCTGAAACAGTTTTGAAGTCCTTTTTCATGAGTGTGTTTATGAGGTATCAGAAAAAATATGGTGAGTGCTGCTGCTAAGTGCCGTCCAACAGAAAGGCAGGCTTGTAAAGACATTACCGGGTGCCCTCATCCACTTTATTCATCGGATCTGGCACCCCGCAACTTCTAGCTCTTCCCCAAAGTCAAAATGATCAGGAAAGGTAAACGTTTGGAATCCCTTCAGGACATCGAGGGAGCCAGGAAGGCACAACGAAAGACACTGGTGAAAGGAGACTTCCAGAACTGCTTCAGAAAGTGGCACGAAGGATTGGATAAATGTGTTTGATGAGTATTTGAGGGGGTAAATGGCAATGTATCTTTAACTATAATACTTCTTTTAAAGTTTAGATATTCACCATAGTTTTCAATCATAGCACACACGTGTAATGTGTAAAGTATAAGTTTTATAGATGCTATATTTGTAATTTATATATGTATGTGTGTACACCTAGCACCAGGTTAAACATCATATAAAGTCTGTTGTGGTTATTAGGTTGTTGTTAATGTTACTATACAAAGCTGGGTCTGATCCCCTACACAGACACATTGGCATTCTGTTGTACCCTTCCTGCAGCTGACTCAAACTCGTCCCACGGGTGTTTGCTGAAGTAATATTATTTAATATTTCTTAGAGTGGAGATATGATTGGATTTATGACTATATAAATTGTTGCTTTAGCTTTGAATGCAGTGAAGTCTATAGCTAAATTTATTTTTCTATGTATCTTCTTAGGGGAAGAATTCCACCAAATTAGGATGTAAAAATGAATGTTAACACTGCCACAAAAAAAGTGACTACAAGAGAGTGGGGGAGGAAAGAAGGGGGGAGACTGTGTGAGGAAGATATTATAAATATATAAACAACAGGTATGGTTAATGTTTCATTTCCAGTCTGGATTGCTCCCAAAAAGATTTAAGTCCCTAGGAAGGATGATATTTCGTACTAGCTCTACTTTCTAAATGGCTAAAATGGGAAGAATAATCTCAAGAATCTAGCCTTGTCACTTTCTAGAGAAGTGGTAGATGGCATTATTGTTCCCAAGCCCTCGCTTTCTTCCTGCTATATAAGTAAGGTTGTGCAGGTACCCTCTTTGCTTGGAAATCTCGCAGTATCTCCCGCTAGCCTGGGTGGAGTGCATTTCCCATCCTGTTGTTACCATGCTTGAATGTGACTCATTTGGCCAATGGAAAGTCAGCAGACAAATTGCACGCAGAGGGTTTAAATGTGCTTGTATAATCTTGGCCTGGCTGAATGTGGTACTGACACCCACCAAGAAATGAAAAGGCTCAAGTTGTCACTCATCCCACAAGGAAGCTACACGAGAAGCAGGGCAAAGCTCAACCTACAGCCTGGAGCCACATTCAGCCAAGGGGGCCTGAATCATGGCCAGTCACAGATTTACAAGAGAAGAACAAATCTGGGCAGTTGTTAACCACTGAGATTTTAAGTTTGTTTCCCAATAAAAATGGACTGCTAATCCATAGGATCCTAGACAGTTTGTGTACATAGCTTTTTTTTCTTCTTCTTTTTTTTTTTTTTTTTTTTGGCTGTGAAATGTCAAAATGGGGAAACTTTTAAGATGTTGGGATGAAAAAAGACTATGTTCAAGAAAATACCCTTGAATCTTTTGTGTACAGTAATGTAAATATAGGATATAGTTAGTACTTTGATTTTCTGAAATGTTAGCCATTTAAAGACTCATTTCTTTTAAAATGACATGTTCAAGTGATACGTGTGCTTGGGTATATGGATGTTCTATAAAAATCACTCCAATATTTCGCAACAAGCATTTGCATATTTTAGATTAATTTAAAAAGTATATATAATATGGTGAAAGTACAATAACTAAATAATTAGTAGTGTGAGTTAGCCAATAGATCTTCTATAACAAACCTCAAAAACACCACCACATTTGAGCAATCTTAACATGATGCTAGACAAGGATCCTTTCCCTAATGTGAATTTAGGGTGTGCTTAGGGGAACTCGGAGACCTAGAGTTTACTAGAGTGAAGCTTACACCTCTTTGTGTCAGGTACTTGTGTGGAGACTGAGTCACCGAGTCTTTTGGGTGTTAGCTACTGGAGGGGGTGCTTTCTCCCTGCTCCATCTCTGGGGGTGCTTCCCACGCACGGCTGATGGAATTCATCTGGAAATGGGTGTGGAAGTGTGTGTGTGTGTGTGTGTGTGTGTGTGTGTGTGTGTGTGTGTGCGCGCGCGCATTTCAAATCACCACCCACTTTTCACAATGCCCTGCATGGCAAACTTCTTCAGTTTCAGACTTAGCAGAAGAAAAATGCTCTATTTCAACTCTTGATTAGAGGCTGTTTGACAAATAATCCATCACAAAATGAAGACAGTATGGAGTATGAAGAAGAAAAACAACGAAGGCTGCCTTACCTGGGGTGCTGATGTTAAACTGCGGGCTGTTGGGGGAGAAGCTGTTGTGTCTCTGCATGCGGCGGCTGGATCGCTTTCCAGGCCACTGGATGGACAGGACTTCTGGCTTAGATGGGCCCTGCCTGGAACAGAGAGAGTGGTGAACCTCAGCATCCAACCTTTATTCCTGCCCCTGTTTTTTGAGACAGGGACTCACTTTGTAGTTCAGGCTGGCCCTGAACTCATTAGGTAGCCCAGGCTGGCCTTGAACTCATGGCAATCCTCCTGCCTCTGCCTCCCAAGTGCCGGCATTACAGTTGTGAGCCACCATGCCTGGCTTATTCTTGTCTCTTTAGGCATCAGGCACAAAGATTTCTAGGAATCGAAAACGTCTGAGAAGTACTGCTTGCAACATGCCCAAGAGACCCAGGGTAATTTGATTCTATTATATGTGAAAAAAGAGAATTCCGGGCCTTCCTTATTCTACAAATTAGAAGTCTAAGTAAAAATTTTGTCTTGAAATTTAAGAAAAAATTCTTTCCTTCATTAGCTATACCACAAATGGAAGAAATATTTGTGTATATGTCATTGTTTTTCGCTTAATTCATTTTTAACTTATTTTTTTTGATCAAAGCTATACATCCACAGATTTTAAAAAGTCAAATGATTCCATGAATCTCATTTGAACAAAAAGCAACCCTCTTCCTATGCCCAGATCACGTGTAAGTGTTAGACTTTTGATACTCATTATAATGGTTTCTTGGTCTGTTCTACCAAGCTGTAAACTCATGTACTATTTCTGAAAATTTTTCTTGAATCATTCTTTTGATAGTTTATCTCCTTTGTTATTTTTCTGGAAATTCTATTTTACAAATATTAGGCATCCTGGGTTGTCCCTCTAATTTTCTTATTAATTCTTCACTGTTTTTTATTGCTTTGTATGTTTTTACACTGAAATCTTTCTCAGAGAATTTTGTTTTTTCCATTATAATTTCCAAGCGTTCTTTTGTGTCCTCTGAATAGTCTTGCTTAACAGCATCTTGTCCTTAGTCCACAAATATAGTATGTTCTCTTAGCTTTTTAAAGTATTGACGCTTTTCTCTGAAAAATTTCTTCTGCTGTTTGGATTAGTTCTGTTTCTTCTGTTTATTTTCTTTCATTTGTTATTTTGGGTCCCACCCCACTCCCATACCCCCCATTTCAGAGTGAAGAGATACAAGACTAACTGAGACCTCCCGGGGGCTAGTAGGATTGCCAACTCACAGCCTCTACCATGGGCTGGGTGGGCTGGATCTATTGAGAGCCCTGATATCAGGCACCATCCAGCTCATCTTCTCTCTTGGACCTCCTAGCTGGAGGATATGGAGCTGTCAAAGATCTGAAAGCAGAGCATGCAAAGGGGGTTTCCGGCCTACCGTTCAGTATGGAGATCTTCAAATAATGCCTTATTTTTTAGCATTGTTCTCAGCTCCCCATTTATGGCAGGTTGATTTTTTTTTTTTGATACCAGGGATCGAACTCGGGTCCTTGCACTTTCAAGGCAGGCGGCGGAACCACTGAGCTAAATCACCGGCTCAGGTTGATGTTTTCTTCCTTTTTCCAGAGAGTACTCCACTCCACTACGGTTCTTTGGATTGGGAAGGAAAGTCACGTACTCGATTGAACTTTGAGCATTCCACATCATTCTCTCTGTCCCGTTGCCATCATTCTTGCATGGGACAGCTGATTCCTGAGCTTTTCTAAGATTCTGTGATACCAACTGCTTTGCATCTTGGTTCTTATACTACCTGATTAAGTTTCAGCTTCCCCAGACTTCTAAGCTTATTTCCACTACACTCATCTTCCTTCTAGGTTTCAAGGAGTTCCTGCTCTTTTGGATCTTCTGTCCTTCTGTGAGTCAGTGCTTCCTTTTTTTTCCCATAGAGATTTAATTTCATTTTTGAAAGGTTTATGGAGGGAGAAAAGTAAATCATATATATTTCATTTCCAATCTTTAAATACCTCTATGGATTTTCCTATGTCATAAAACAGCCAGCTGTCTAGCAGCATCGGCGGTTACAGGTGTTGGTGATTAGAGCAACAGGTGTTGGTGATATTTCTCTATGTTCAAGCTCCAGGAATGTCAGCTGTGTCAAGTTTTACAATCACTTGTTGCCGAAATTAAAGCCCTCCTTACAAGGTGCTATAGACAACTATCAAAAAGAGAAAAATAACGTTTAAGTCTAGAAGGAATCATTCATATCCCTGGATATAGAAGAACCTTGGAAAATGGACCAAATATGCAGATTCCATCATAAAATGAAAATCCACATATAACTAAACCATGCTCCCAGAAATCTAGTTGTTTGAGGAAGAGAGGTTTATGTAAGAAGACCAGGGTCCTCTGGAGGGAAACTTCAGTTCCACATCATGATTATTCTTGCCATTGGCTATTAGGTAATTCCAACTGATATGGGATTAAAGTAGCTCCCATTTAGTCAGTTTGCCAGGGCGGACACAGAAGTTGTTACAGAATGCCATTTGAAAATCTCACCTTGGTGATATCCTAGACGTATGCAACTCTTCTCTCTGAAATTGCCGTTTCCACATGAATAAACTTCAGACATTTTGCCCAACCAAGCATTTCTAACTCATTACTGCAGGATGAATGAAAAACTGTGATTCTGCCCTGGGGCTGATAGGCGGAATGTCTGACTTGTCTAAATTTGCTGTGTATGAGTCTATGTATCCCTAGGATTCACAAATATTAAATCCCAAAGTAATGTCTACACTGAAGGGGAAACAAATTACTAGAGCTGTGGGAATTTTAATGAAACTTACAGGTTTCGACTCTTGACTGTCCTCCAGTCTTCTTCTATAATATAAATGCCTAAAGAGGGTTTTTTTGTATACACTGATTTGATTTGTCTCAAAGAGGCTGCTCTCCTGTTCCTCCAATCATTGTTAGTCCAGTTTTCCTTAAACCTTTGTTTCATTATATTGTTCTTCTGTTTACAACTACCAATAGCAACCTATGATAGAATTTAGTGTGAATGTATATTCCTAACTTTTAAGGTCTTCCTAAACCCCACATGCCAATTAGATTGGTCTCTGTCCAGGTCCTCACCCACTTCCCCTCGGGAGGGAAGGTTCTCTTTACCTACATTACCTTTCATTCATTTAGTTTCACATAATTAAAATGAAATTGTGCCAAGTAGCGAGAAATAATGCAAAGTCCCTGTATCAAGAAACTCAGTCTACTGGGGAAGCTGAATAATTCATTGGCAGAGATAGGCATGTATGAACAATATGCAATGAAATGCCTGGTGATGAAGTAGGAGAGTGAAAATCTATTTCAAGAGCAGCAAAGTCTTCCCAGAGAAAGTACTGCTCAGAGGCCAAAGCAGGAGTCAACCAGCTAAGTTATGGATAAGGTGGGCTGGGTGAGAGGATGAGATGATCCCTTCATAGAGAACAGCATAAGGCTGTTTGAATTCATCTAAAAGATCCAGTTCAAGTCTTATCTCTCCACAACACTCTATCACTGGTCTCTTGATTGATACCATGGCTCATCTTGCTGTCGATTCTTCACAGGTGCAGTCCATGGTGCTCTCCTTGCTTTGGTTTTTGTGCCAAAGGGGGTGTGGCCGTGGGAAAAGCGACCAAGTGCCATAAGGTTGGGATAACTCGTGCACTTCTGTCTGGTTCACCAGAGACTTCACACTGCATGTTTTGGACACAATGTACAGTGGTACCCTTTTTCCTAATTGCTTGTTGATTGCCTCCAGGAAGGAGAATTATAGATTTGGGCATCTCTGGATGCTTTCATTAATACCTTACAGTAATACTCTCCACACAGACCTCGGACTTGGCAATAGTGTGTATTATTTCAAGTAGTGTTTGAACTAGAAATCTAGATGTAAAAGATTTTCCTCATGCTTTCTACTTTTTCTTAAATCTATATTTTTATATTCCTTCTCATCCAACACAGCTGCTATGCAGCTGTTGGCAGCAATCATGAGTTTAAGGCTGGTCTGTGGCCTAACACAAAGAACTGTTGTTCATTAAACATTCACTGTACGGTGCTGAATGAACAGTATAAGTTTGCAGGAGAAAACTATAGAAAAAAAAAAAAAAAAAAAGCAAGGGGGAAATGGAGCTCAGAAGGTTTTTCAAAGCCCTTCTCAGGTGGCAAATGATTGAATCTAAGAAAGGAAAATGCATTGTATTTCCAGAAAAATCTAAACAAAAGAGCTATCATTTTCTCATCAGGAACACAAGATCAATTTCATACTGCTTCAAGACATTCAGTTATCTTCTGCTCCAAGCTGAGGAGTTGGGTTGTTGCTTTTTAAAAGCTGTTGCACTTTGTCATTTAATATGGAATCACCTGACAGTGAAAATGGAAAGTCTGTAATGTGAGGAATGGTGCACAGATTCACTGAAGGGTGGCTCCTGGTGTTCATTAGCTACACAAACTCTTTAGATTTTTTACTTAGAAGCTTTTTGTTCGAACCTGGTGGTAATTACTCTTTTTGACAGTGGAAAGATATGGTTCAAAACTCCACTATTTTTAGGCATGTCCTAGTAATTCCTCTGATTTGTTTAGAAAAACTGGACCTACAATAGTAACCCATTAGCCTGTTCAAAAAACTTAATTGTGTATTTATTCCTACTTTATGATAAAAATTAGATAAAGGCACATCTATCTGTTTAAAGTAACATGGCCAAAATATGTCATAAAAGCAAGAATTTTGCCAAACTCTTCTTTAACTTGCAGAGTATGAAGAATGACAACTCAAGAATGCACTAACTGTTCTTAGAATTACTTTGATGTCTACTTTACACATTTCCAATATAGGCGTCTCTTTACTATTAGTGCACTTATATAGATATTATAGTATTACCTTTTCTTCTCAATGATACTTAATGGTAACTTCAAATTTTGAGATTGTTCCCCTCTTTCACTTTTTACATTTCTTTAAATAATCAGGCTTACTAAATTTTAAAATCTCCCCAGAATATCCATGTTCACTTATTCTGTAAGAACTTTTCTCATCATTTCCACATTTTCAAGTTAGATTCATCTGCAAGAAAAGCTCAAATGTCATAGGAAAATTTCATGAGATAGACTTTTATCCCTGTAATGATTTTAAATCCTTTATTCTACTGAAATCCATTCACAATTTGATTTCCTTACTATATTATATTTATAATGCTGAACATAGCAAAGTAGATTTTTGCCCATATCTTATGTAATAGAATTTCTCTTCTTTAAGGATTAGCACACATATTAAATGTATATTAATATTTCTTTTAAATGCTTCTCTGCCTACTAAAGTCTCAGTTAAAAATTACTGAGTAAATGAAGGATACTAAAAGATGAATAAAAAAATTTTTGAGGCAAATAACAAGGCAAGTAGCCAGTAGACGTCCTTGATACTCCATTTAAATCCATTCATTTTCATTTTTAATTTTCATTAGTACAGTGATCCTCATCTAGTTTTCCGCAAAACTAAAATCACTAAAGAGACATCAATGAAAATGTTTAGTTGCCTTTCTTGACGAGTTTGCTCCTCAGTAGTTTCCATGGCGCACTCCAGGGAATTCTGGAGAGACTGCAGCTGATTTAATGTTTCCTTTAATAAAAATCGGGTGACAAACTGTTCCAAATTGGAAGCTTCCTGGTAGTCCTAAGGATGACAAATAAGTGCAATTAGAAGTACAGTAGGGAAAAATAACCAGATATCAGTTTCCCCCAATGTGTCCTTTAATCTCGGACAAGTTCTCGAAAGGACACAGGAAAGAAGAGAAAAAATGTGTTGGCTCTGGAGTCTGTATCAGGTTCTACCAGAAGCTGAGTAAAGGGGCTGCGGAAACTTACTATTCTTGCCTCATGATTAGGAAATAGGAGAAAATCCAGCAATACCATGGAATAGACATCTGTGGAAAAGTAAAACATCTGCGGAGCAATAGAGTTGAAGTATGACTAACTCAGGTTTTGTTCTGTCTCATTTAAATGATGACCATGCCATCATACACTTTCTCTAGTACCAGCATCATGTAGTCACGTCTCAGCAATTGGCTTAATTTCCTCTTGATGTCTTTATTATTCTTGATCCATATTATGCTGAAGCCAGAGGAAACTATGTATCATTATTTCAAAATTCAGAAAATGTTAGGCTTGTAATATTCCAACAATTTACTTAATTTGTTCATGTCCCTCGCTGAGTAACTACTTGAGGTTCATTTGTAGCTAACTTCCAGCATAACATTTTAGCCAAAGAAGCACCATTTGTTCCTCCAGCTCCAGGTCTGCGTAAAGATCACTGAAGAGTTGACAGCTGTACTTGTAGAGCTCATCTAGGTAGGTGGCTTAGCTCTAAGTGGTAGAATCTGGAATACTACAGTTCTCAGGAAGAAGCAAGAAAGAAAACTAGGCCAGCAAGACGGCCACGTCAACAGGACCACTGTGAGGTCATAGGACCAGCCAACGAAATCTGATATTCTAGTTTTTGATAGGAACAGTGTGCTCAAGTTCAGTGAAGGACTGATTTGACTCCATCCCTAAACAAAATGATCTGTGTATGTGTGTGTGCTGCTGAAAGTCAAACTGAAAGGAATGATGGTGAGAACACAAGGTGACGAGTCAGTGTGCCACAGAATCCTAAGACACGTTTGTAAACCTAGGCAAACAAGACTTAGTTATTTAATCTCTCTGTACCTCAACTTCCCCACTTATAAATCAAGCTAATATTCCAATATAAGACTATTCTGTATATCTATTAACAGTAAATTACAATATATTGAACTGTGACTTCCTGTTATAAATTCCTTTGGAATTTTTCTGTTAGCACAACAACATAATATAATAGAAAACTGTATTTCTTTCCTAATCTAAAGTAGCAAAAGGTTTCACTCATCAGTCTTTTTTTAGCATAATCTCTACAGGTGAACAAAACAGGAGATTTTTCTTACCATATATTATTATATGTATTATTTTAAAATAAAAAATTATAATGTCTTTAAACTCTTAGAAAGCCATCATACAACAAAACGTGTCCAAGACAATCAAAGATTTTATGAGTTAAATCAATTTAAAAATACACAAAATATATAGTTTAATCTCATACCTTGCTATTTATTGGCAATAAAAATTTAAAACATAATTTGCTGGACACAGGGTCTCACCATGTAGTTCAGAAAGGCCTTGAAATCACTATATAGCCCAGAGATCCTCCTGCCTCAGCCTGCCTAGTTCTGGGATTACAGGGAGTGCCGCTGCACCCAACTAAAACATCACTTTTAAATTTGTGTTTTTTAAAAAATTAAGGCAAATTTCTTCTGAGATGCAAAGAGAATGTTTAATAGAAAAAATTTGTTTGTTTTATTTTATAGTTGTTTCCATTTTGTCAATCCATATTTTTAAAATTTATTAAAACAAAGACAAAGGACAATACACAGTCAGAGATTATGCCAACTACTTCTGAATCTCAGTGTACACTATGAGTAATCTAAAGCAAATGATACATTTTATTTTTATAGACATCATTGAAAAGCGAAGGAAGCATACGTTTACTGAGCAATGAAGCATAGTGTTGGCCCCTTTATTTTCACTGAAATGTTAAATATTTGCCACGTCATGTCAGAACTATAGAACGTGTGTACATTTTCTAGTTAGCTGATTCAAATACTCCAGTCATTGCAATTAGATTTTGGCTTCTCAGACACCAAGGTCCTGCCTTCTATTTCTATATCCTTCATTGTGTCTCCAGTAGATACTCATTCACTTCCTGATTGTTTCACAGATAAACTATTACCCTAAGAATTTATTTCATTGCTCTTGTTGCTCTTACACACAAAGATTTTGACAGCTAAAATTAGATATGAAGGGAAAGTTAAAATTAAGTCAACGGGCTGCTTTCTTGTTGCTTCCTATGGCGAATCAGGAAGTTTCAATGATGGTGATGTTTCCTCCTCACTGGGATGAGATTTTGCTATCCCCGCCAGCCACCCTTCAGATAACATTATGAAATGTCACAACCCAGTCGGTTAGCATATTGGGCAGAAATCTTGCTGCCTTGACACTGAGGGGGCACTTAGGTGGGGAAACTGCTTTGAGAGATGAAGTTTTTTGTCAGCTATGAAGGTTTGATATTCTGTGGTACCCACAGGAAATAAGGAGAGGATTTATTTCCTGATATTCCTACTCACCCTTCTGGTTCTGTTCTTGCACCTTCGCTGCGCACAGCCTTTCCTTGCCTGGAACCAACCCACCTCCTCACAGCACCAGGCACGGTTCCCTTCCTTCTGTGTAATCCTGTAACGCCTTTTCCCTCCCCAGGGGATAGGAGTGTCGCTTTATATTGCAATCTGTTGTTTACTGTTTTTCTGCCCCATTTTAGTTCAGCTCTTCATGGGTAAAGATTATGTCTTGTTCATCTGTGCCTCCAGAATGCTCAGAATGAAGACTGGCTCACAGCAGCTGCCCCATAAATGCTTAAAGAGTGTGTGAGGAATATGTGAAGGACTCTGTGGAGAGAAGGGCACCCAAAGGAAAGTCTGAGCCCTGCGCACTGCACTTCCTGCTCACCAAGCCCCACTGCCTCGGGCTGTATTGCACCCTTGTGTGTAAATGCTGCAGCCCAGCTTGCTTGGCCACATGGGCTCTGCAAGAAAGGGAAATACAGCTCCGCTCTTTACAGACTGTCTTTATTTCATTTTCTGGACCATTGGTTAGTTTGCTTCTTCCCTTCTCTTATTCTGGATCCCAAGCTTTGGGCCTGCAGCCCTAGGTGGCACAAATCCAATCTTGCTTCCCTTCTCTCAGATATACAGCAGATGTTCCTTTGGAAGTCAGTGGCAAAAGAAGCAGATGGAAAATTAAACAGACAACAAGCTGGAAAATGTCAAAGCCTGGCCCTTTTTATTCCTAACAAATGTGTTGGTTGTGAAGGTACAAAAAGAGATCTTTGCATTCCTCACTCCCCAGAAGATTGATATGCTGGTGTAAGGCACGTGTCTTTTGTGCAAAACACAGAATTTGAAAGACTGGCAGAAAGAACCACTGATCTAATAATGCACAAAACAATAAATGTGTAGATGATACTGAATATCCAGATTCTGCCTCTTCATTTCAGATAGTTTTGTCTGTCATACTCATTAGAGAGATTATGAGCAAATACAAGCTAATGCTATATTTTTATCCCAATAACACTCATTCAAATTATTGAGAAATGTCAATTACATGAATCCTTAGGTGGAAACCATTAACAAAATAACATTAATGCTTCCATTTTTGCCTTTGGAAAGCCTGGAATGTAAACATTTCAGTTGTATTTTGTTTTGTGGCACTAGAACAGGGTTAGCATTCATCCAAGTAAAAATCCTAGCATTGAGAGCATTGTATGTCAAAAATCGAGTTTCTTAGGGACTGCATATGCATCTTAATTGTCAGATCATTTCTCAGTAAGCAAGCTATGCCCATCTGGTTGATGGAAGAGAGGAGATCTTAGTTATTAACCCACTATGAATCATCTGAGTTAATTAGGAAAATCAGAGCATGAGACTGCCTTGTTTGTATTCACCCTGCTTGAATTTAATAAAATCAGCGACATGTAGTGTCAGTGTCTTCTTGTTTATGAGGTCAGAAATGATCACATTTAGCAGGGGGTACTGCTTCTAACTGTCTTTTGATCCAAGCCCCCGTGGCTTTTGCCAGTCTTGTGTGAGAAATCTGTGCCAGTTTCCACAACATGAAAAAGCGTCATGCTGCAAGGATAAGGTTATGTCTTTCTTTTTCAGGATCCTTCCCCAAACTGTTACTTTCTTTTTTATAATAACTGGCATACATATATTACCTATGTCCTACTTTCAAAAAATATTTTTAGACTTTCATTTAAAACAGCACATACTTTTATTTTCAAATAGGAAAAATGCTCTATCAAATTTATGATTTAAAGAAAACAAAAAATGAAGAATCGGTTCTTAACTGTCTTAAAAATGGGCTGAGGTTGCCAGGCATAGTGACACATGTCTGTAACCCTTGCTACTCAGGAGGCTGAAGCAAGAAGATCAGAAGTTTGAGGGCAGCCTGAGCAACTTAGTGAGAGCATGCCTCAAAACAAAAAAATAACAAAAAACAAAACAAAACAAAAAGAGCTGTGAGTGTAGCTCAGTACTATAGCCCTTTCCTAGGATGTACCAGTTCAAAACCCTGGATTCAACACTCACTATCACACAAAAAAAGAGACATTGTTGGAAGTCTTAAATGATAAAATAAGAGATCAAAATAATTTCAGTCAGCAGAGTTCCAAAGAGTAAGGCAATAATAGATCTTGATGTCAGCGAGAGAAGAGACATGGCTCTAATTTTGGAATAAAATATTATTAACCAATAGATTGAAACAATCTCTTAGCTCTATTTTAGCTTGATATTCTGTAGTTTGAAAACAGAAAATACTTCAGAAATGAGTTATATTATCTAAGGCCTTTATCTTGCCACACTCTATTATCATAAGGCTCATGCCATGGTGCCTAGGACTTACTTTGTGAATGCTTTTTTCCTCTGGCTCCTTCCATTCCTCTGTCTTGCACAAGGACAGTATGACCACTTGGATACCTTTACCCAGAGAGCAATCCCATTCAGCTGGGAAGTAGTCCTCTTCAAACAAGTGGGATTTTACAAAAATGCA